AGATATGCCTGCCTCTGCCCCTTGTGTGGCATTTAAAGCTGTGCACCACAGTATCCTGAAGTATACTTTAAGTTTTGGTTGTTTTTGCCAACTTGCTTTTCAAGGATATGATACTGATTTAAAATTTTCTGCTCCTGGCAGTGTGTGGGGGAGTCCCTATCTGTTTCATCCACGTTTTTGTCTACATGTTATACACATCATAGTTTTATTATCTTTGCCAATCAGATAGTTCAAAAAAGTTACCACATCATTTTAAAGTTGCATTTTCTTATGGGTAACCTAGAACATCTTCTTATCCACATGTATTTCCTTTTGGTGGTCTCTCTGTCTACCTATTTATGTACATTCCCACCCATCCTTTGCTCATTTTCCTTGGGCTGTTAGTCTTTTTTTTATTGATTTGTTGTAACTATTTGAATTTTGAGGATTTAAGCTGTTTAAAGATTGAGGAAATTAGTGCTTTTCTATGATAAGAGCTATTTTTTTTTCATTTTTATATTTGTCCTTTGACTTTTTATACTGTGCAGCATACATTTTCTTTTTTATTTTATATATATATATATATATATTTTATTATTTATTTTGTGTGTATTCATGTAGCATATGTATATGTTTACATGTGTGTGGGAGCCCATGGAGGTCAGAAAGGGGTATTGGACTCCTTGGAGTATTGGTGAGCTGCCTGATATGTGTGCTGGGATCCAAAGTCGAGTCCTCTGATAGAGTAAATGCTCTAAACCACTGAACCATCTCTCCAGACCTCTGTCATGGATTGCTTCAGTCCTCTGGATTTTGACTTTTTCTCCCCTCCCCTCCCCTCCCCTCCCCTCCCCTCCCCTCCCCTCCCCTCCTCTCCCCTCTCCCCTCTCCTCTCCTCTCTTCCCCTTCCCTCCCTCTTCTCCCCTCCCTTCCCCTTCCCTCTTCTCTTCTTCCTTTCCTTTTCTTTTCTTTTCTTTTTTTTGTAGCCTAGACTGATGTCTTAGTAGCAATGAGGCTGAGGATGACCTTGAACTTCTGGTCTTCCTGTGTTCACATCCCAGTTTCTGGGATTATAGCTTTATGCAGTGTTGGGGAGGACTCCAGGCTTTGCGTTTGCTGACAAGCACTCTACCTGCTGAGCTAGCTCCCAGCCTTTTGTCATATTTTAGAAGATATTTTATTTCTGTTTTAATCTTGCACATTGGTGAGTTTTGTTGTAAATTAGTGATGGGCATTCTGTTTAGATAAGTGAAGAACTATTTTCTGTTTTTATTTGTGGTATTTGAGTTACTGCATCTGGAGTTTACCTGTTCATTTCTCTTCTGCAGTGAAGGTAAAGTAGAGCATCTGCTTTATGGCAAATGGTTAGCAGGAGGTCTTGATAACTGAGAGGTAGTTAGGATAGTCCTAAGTTAGATGATTCATGCTGACTACAGAAGACTAGGTCAGGGCTGGCAAGTTGCTGGAAGCAGGTTCTCAGGTCGCAGAGATCACTGACTGTCTCAGCTTGGTGAACCCTTCACAGCGAGTAGCCGTGGAGTGGATTTCAGCGTCTGGAAAGGTCTGACTAAGCTATGGGCTTCATCAAGGTCTGCAGTTGTCCCCTTTCTTCAAGACTAGGCAGCTGTTGATTACTTCCTTGGTGTTCTGAGCTCATCAGGTGCTCAAGTGGTTCCTAACCCTGGCGCTGAAATAGAAGCTGTTGGGATGTGGATTTCCCAGCCACAGCATTTAGAACTGTCTGGGGTGGAGTCTCATGCAGCTGGGAGTGAGCATTGATGCTAATACAATCAGTTTGCAGTACCTTTGAGTAAAGGCTTTTAAAACTGTACACTGCCCCAGTGCCTCCAAATGTCTACCCACTGGCCTGGGCATCCTGATAATACAGCTTCAGGCCTGATGCTGAGTTGCAGATTCTACATGTCCAGTGCTCAGGTGATGGTAATGCTGCTGGTCCCCAGAACACTCATGAGTGGCTTGAGCTTGTCAGTCATGAGTGTAAACACTAGCTTATGTCTGATAAAGTCTTGCTCTCTGGCTGATTTTGCTTTGTGTACAAAAAAACAAAACAACAACAAACAAAACAACAAAACCTCAAGTCCAGTGGTCCACTTTCCAATTCTAGCTTTGCCCTCAATTAATTGAAAAGCAGATTTCTTGAAAGTGCTTCATCCCTTCATCCTCTTGCCTCTAAAAGAGAGGGCTCAGCTGGGTGTGATGTGTAGTGTCCTCACCTCTTATCCTCTTGTGATTCAGGGTTTGTTCAGGCTGTCTGGATGGGGATTTTATGTGGAATGGTAGTCTGTGTTCTGCACTTAGAACACTGGCTCCCCCCTGGGAACTGGTCCTGAGTTTATTATAATTTATTGGGAGTATTATTTAAACTAGCAGATGTTTAATAATAGTTGACATAATAGTTCAAATTAAGTTGTAAACCATGGTAAATATACAGAGTAGGTGGGGAAGAACATTGACTGGAGCAGAAGATGTCACTGCAGAGGGGAGATTTGAGTTAGGCTTCAGGGTGCTGGTTCTCAGGCTTTTTTTTTTTTTTTGGTTTTTCGAGACAGGGTTTCTCTGTGTAGCTTTGCGCCTTTCCTGGAACTCACTTGGTAGCCCAGGCTGGCCTCGAACTCACAGAGATCCGCCTGCCTCTGCCTCCCGAGTGCTGGGATTAAAGGCGTGCGCCACCACCGCCCGGCTGGTTCTCAGGCTTTTACACTGTGTTTGCAAAGGCGTTCTTCAGCAGTTGATGGCATCATTCTCAGGGTCTGCTTAATTACATGATGGCACTGGGTGGCTACTGTTTGGATTTTGTACAGAGAAAGAGAGAGAGAGAGAGACAGAGAGAGAGACAGAGAGAAAGAGAGAGAGAGAGAGAGAGAGAGAGAGAGAGAGAGAGAGAGAGAGAGAGAGAGAGAGAGATCCTTTACCCAATGACTTGGAAGAAAATTGGCTACTATTCCAAAAGCAGAGTAGTAATGATGACTTAATCGTTTCATGTATCTGCTGTTTGAGCAAATATTAAATTTGGTAGCTTACCTAAACTTGTCCAAGTGGGATGATTTTGATGGTATAAGTTGGATGGCATATAGATGGAATTTAAAACAATTCCGACAGGTATTCTAATGCTTAATATTAGTCAAATAACTAAAAGTAATAATTTTAGATATTTGGTAATTGACTTTCCAGTCAGGTATGGGATTCAGCGTACTTAATAACCTATGACAATGGTATTAGCTAACCAGAATAAATTGGATCCAGCCATTCAGAGTTGAATCATAAGCAGCCAGCTTCCAAGTGAGGGCTGGCAGACTGTCAGCCCAACGTACTGTAAGATATGTTTAAGGTGCCACCAAGTCTATCTTTATGTAATGTTTTAAAAACTTCCAGTTTATTTTGGGGTGCTAAGGATCACATGTAATCCCGTGTGTGCTAGACAAATGGTTTAACACTGAGCTATATCCCTGTTTCTTAAGTCTCTTTAAAATTATGGTGATTGTGTTTTTTTCTTCTAGAGATACCACAATAAAGTACTCCACAATAGATGAATAGATGAAACCGGGAGAGAACCTTGTATTCCCCCTTTTTCTGGAAGTTAGAGACCCGAAATCAAGGTGTTGGGTCGTGCTCGCTCTACAGGCTCTCTGGAGGGGAACCTGTCACCTCTATGGCGTTTGTGGTTGACAGCAGTCCTTGACATCCCTTGGCTCGTGGTTGCACCTCTCCCCTCTCCATTTCTGTGTGGCTTTCTCAGAACTCCACGTGTCTGTTTCTGTCTCCAAGTGTCCCTCTTGTTATAAAATGATTAAGCAACCATTTCTTCCTTAATTATTATTACCTAGATTCTGTTAAAATGTGAACACTAGTGACAGTGTGGTGGAATTAATATTCCTTGACATGCAAATATATCTCTGTGCTTGGAGAGGTATTATATTCTTCCATATAAGTTTATGGAATTCAAGCAAGTTTTGCATGAAAATGGAATTGATTATAGTTAGGGGACTACACGGGGCTGTGTTTAAGATTAGAAGAGTAGAAGGAAGCAGGAAAGAAAACAGTGGGGCTGGAGAGATGGCTCAGTGGTTGAGAGCACTTGCTGCTCAATCGTGGGGACTGGGGCTCGGATCCCAACCTGCGTCAGACAACTCACCAACCTGAGGAACTCCAGCTCCAAGGAACCCCCACACACACCATGTGCGGACACTCACTGAGACATGGCTTCCCAGACATGGACACACAGAAATAAAATACTTTCAGAAGAAGAAACAAACCAGTAGATGATTGAGAACTCTTTTTGTAATCTGTATGTGAAAATGGCATGGTTGTTTTCAGCTCTCTGAAGAGCAGTTCTGTGGAAAAGGTCTTTGACTCCTGAAGACAGAACGAGAACCACTGAGCTAAGGGGAACAGTGCAGTGTAAGACAAAACTTCCTCAAGTTGTAGTGCAGGGAATGTTGGGAGCCGCCATGAGGAAGTGGGAAATGCAGTATCAAGTGATGCACAGTGTACATTGGGTCAGTCTTATTATCTGTATCATTTCATCTCATTTAATGTTGTTGCTGGAGAGCTTCTCTCCAGGTCCCACCAAGCCCCGCAGTCCCACAACCCACGTATAAAATAATCACTCAGATGCTTATATTACTTATAAACTGTGTGGCTGTGGCAGGCCTCTTGCTAACTGTTCTTATATCTTAAATTAACCCATTTCTATAAATCTATACCTTGCCATGTGGCTCGTGGCTTACTGCCATCTTTACATGCTGCTTGTCCTGGCGGTGGCTGGCAGTGTCTCCGCCTCCTTCTCTCTGTTCCCTCAATTCTCCTCTCTCCTTGTCCCGCCTATACTTCCTGCCTGGTCACTGGCCAATCAGTGTTTTATTTATATAGAGCGATATCCACAGCATAATGGGGCTAGTTTCTCTTTGCATGGCGTAGACTTAAGTGAAATGGTAGTTCTTTAAGTGATGAATTCTTGAATTAATTTGCATTTTTAATGATTTTTTGTTGGTGGAACACAGGAATGTTCTGATGGCTACATGTGCAAAACACAGTTTCAAATAAAAAATGGGACTACAACATCACATCTGGGAACACCTGCCAATGTACAAACGTGTCTTCCAACAGAGGTGAGTAGTGGAGTGTGCCGTGGTCTCCTTTGCAGTCTGTGTGAAGTATAAATTAAAAACTCTCAGTCTGTTGTATGTATGTTTATATCTTGAAAATTTAGTAGCCCTTGGATCCTGGGACTGTTGGTGGCAGATGTGTGTACTTCTTCCCTGAGGGCTTATTTTCTTTATAGCAATGAAAACAGGAATTGTGGTATCCACTGTGAGTCCTTTCGGTTCTAGTGACCTGTCACACTTTCCTTTGGACCTGAAGACACATAATAGCGTCTCTTGCCTTGATTTTTATCTAATGACATCTCAGCCTGTACAGGCCTGTCTCTGTGTCTAGTCTACCTTTGATCCTTTTTCTAGCCATTTGGAACTTTGTAGAAACTGAGTATCATTATTTAGGATATTTTGATTCACTTGAGAAATTTACAAAATTAAATATTATTAAAATGCTGAGTTCTTAGTGGCTTTCTGGATATTTTCAGTTTTCTTTTTTTTTAAGTCAAAATGCAAATAGCCTTATCTATCTATCTATCTATCTATCTATCTATCTATCTATCTATCTCCCTCCCTCCCTCCCTCCCTCCCTCTCTCTCTCTCTCTTTCTTTCTTTCTTTCTCTTATTTTCTCTTATTAATTTTTTTTCAAGACAGTTTCTCTACATAACAGCTGTGGCTGTCCTGGATCTCGCTCTGTAGACCACGCTGACCTCAAACTCACAGAGATCCACCTGTCTCTGCCTCCTGAGTGCTGGGATTAAAGGCGTGTGTCACCACCACCTGGCAATGTTTCTTATTCCTAAGTAAAGTTGTAGATATCCATTGTAAAAAAATGAACAATAGGGAAATACATAAAAGTGAAATAATTCTCTTTTATGCCTTTAGGTGGGTAACCACTATTAGTATTTTGGAAAATACTACATATTTTCCGTAGGTTTCTACTATATATGTATTTTGGTGCCAAGGAAGAATATCATGGGCATCTCCATGTTAGTAAATGTAGAAGTCTATAGTTCTCTTTGGTGGCTGCATGGCATTCCATTTGATGGCCACGCCATAATTATATACTCTTACTTCAGGAAGCACTTGAATTTAAACAGATGGAAGATGATTGATGGAGACCTAATTGCTTCAGAGCAAAAAACCAAAAATGTTTAAATTCTAAGCTTCTTAGTAAAGAGAGAGGAGATGCTGTATACATGTGTCTGTGTGTGTGTGTTCTCTGGATGCATGTGTGCATGTCCATTTCTGTCTGTGCATGTTCCTGTCTGTGTATAAGTTATATGTACACATATTTCTGTCTCTCTGTGTGTGCATGTTCCTTTTGGTATGTGTGTGCATGTTTCCATGTGTACGTACATGTTCCTTTCAATATGTGTGTTCATATTCCCATTTGTGTGTGCATGTGCGTGCTCCTGTCTGTATGTGCATGTGTGTAAATGTATATGGGTGTGCTTGCACATGTGTACCTGAATGCATATGGATGCTAGGTCCATGTATGTTGTTTTCCTCTTTTGCTCTCCACCTTATTTTTTTCACATAGGGTCTCTCACTGAACCTGGAGCTCACCAGTTCAGCAAGCCTAGCTGGCCAGCGAGATCCAGGATCTCCTCTTTTCATATCCCTACTGTAGGATTACAGGCCCACGCCACCACACTCAGCTTTTATGTGGCTGATGCTGGTCCTTGTGTGTGCTTGGAAAGGACTTTACCCACTGGCACCATTCGCCTAGTGGAGATGGTCCTTCTTGTGTGCACAGGAAGAGGTCGTTCTCAGGATATGTTAAATCAGGTCAGTTTGGTAATTGCGCCTTGCTTACCCTCTTGTGCCTGTGTATGATGCTGGTCTAGGAGTAACTTTCTCCAGTAGCATTTGATCACAGGTCATTCCTACAGATTTTGTGCTAGGTAGTGCTAAGTACTGCATGGAGGCTGCTGGACTCTTGATGCCCGCTTCGTGGTTCAGTAGCCGACACCAGTCCTGAAGCTGAACACGTTAGGGCAGCCCTCTCAACCATTATCTATTAGCTTAAAATGTTAACCTAGAAATGGTGATTAAAAAGGCAAATGACTAGTTTTTGTCTAACAAGTTGGCAGAGATTTTAAAAGCACTAGGAAGAGGTGTGGCAGTACGAGAGAACTGACACTTTCTGATGTTGTAACTTAAAGTTTAAAGTTGTGTGCATGCTATGAGTAATCTATACTGAATGGAGAAAGTTAGCCCCCAATCAGTTTCCCTATCATTTTCCATTGCCAACCTTCCCCAGTACAAATCAACGTGGAGGAAAGCTGGAGGAGTTCTGGGTGGAGTAGCCACGTTCTCACGCCACGTTCTGCCGTGGGTGCTGGGCTGCGCTCACGTCTTTATCTTTCTATCCCCATCCTTCTGTTGAGCAAACCCACTGGTATGACACAGTGCTTTTCCATCTGCATAAACTGCAAAGCAGTGCTCACAAAATAACCAGAAATACACACAAAAGGTGTTCAGGCAGCGAGTGTATCACACTGCCGTTTCTGACTGGAAACAAGCAAAAGCAGCCATGATATGCTGCAATAATGGACTGGTTGATTAAGGTACAGGTACAGTGGATGCAATTATGAAGATCTTCTGGGGAACCAGTAGTGCAAGAATTAAATGTTAAATGCAAGGTGGACAGTTGTTATAGCCTAAACAATTTAATCCAAGCACATTTACTATCATTTGAATTAGCTGTTGACTATAATGATTTTAAATATTATTTTTTATCTCTTTAAAGAGTGAAACCAATAATTCGTTCTTATCACTTTGAAGTCCTGGGATTCTCATTTGTTTGTTTAATCCAGCAGTTCAATTGGCGTCACCAACCATCTCCATAAGCTTCCTTTCTTGAGGTGTGCCATTTTCCAGGCCCTATAAGAGAATGCTTGTAAAGCTGACTGAGACATACAGTGCTGGGAGTCACTGCATCTCTTGATTTCCTTGCCAGCCTTCAGCTGAATGAGCAACTGAAAGATTCTGAGCTGGGCCTGGCAGTCTATGCCTGTAATTTGAGATGGAGAGACAGAAGAGTCAGGAGTCTGAGGCCCTCTTTAGCTACATAGCAAGTTTGGAGACAGTCAGAAGTACACGAGATCTTGTTTTAAACAAGAAAGCAAACAAACACACGAACGAATACAGGACACAGAAATAAAAAGATTATGTATATACTCACACACACATATATAGCCTAGATATTATTTTCCTTCTAATCAAGTAGTATTTTCTTACCCGTGGATTTTTAAAGAAGTTTTTTCTATTTCTTCCCTTTCTCTTCCGGGTTTTTCTGTAACAGTGTGCTTCCTTTCTCTTTCATACCTCATGAACTTGGATTCATTGTTTTGAAGTCAGACTGCTTCCATAGACTGTAAACCCATTCATATAGGGTTACATAATAAATATCTATACTCTAACTAGACTTTTGACTCTGGGTCCCACCAGAATCAACTTACTTCTGTATGTTGATATAAGCTGGGCAATCAGATTGATTGAATTCTAAAAGGGTTTTACTTTGCATAGAATAGTAGTATTTTTTTCTGATAGCCGGTTTACATAGGAGAGTTACAAATGTCTGAAAAGAGAAACTTTGGTAAGGTCTCAGTAGTGTACGTTTGGAGGAGTTGGAGTGGAGTCTGGGACTAGGCCTGTTGCTTGCCAGTCGATGCTGGTGTTTGTGTTCACCTGTTTGGTAAGCCATAGTGAGTGAGATTGCCTAACGTGGATGAGAACTAGAAGAAAGCACTAGATTGGAAGTGTATTTGTCACTTTTTAGTCATGTTCTAGCAGTGTGAGCTTGTGTAAACCCATTTTCTTACCTCAAGTATTTGTTCTTTTTTGGAATACAATACCCAAAAGTGCTGTCATTAATCCTAGCAGCATATCACCTAGCCATACGATGAAGAGCAGTAAGTGAATGGGGAGATACAAGGTGAGCATGTTCCACTTCATTTCTGTGCTGTCATGCCTTCAAAGGTGGGAGACTCTCCAGGTTGAAAGGGAACATTTCTTCAGCTGCAGGTAGCCCCAGCATCTCACAGAGGTGTTTGGAGACAGCTGGACATGACTCTAACCAGAAGTAGCAGTATTGAGGACATCTCAAGGGTTGTAAGGACTGTGCGTGCACTGTCATTCTTCCCTTGATAAGTACTAGACTGCTTGTAGTCTTCCTTTGGATAGCTTTTTCCTTCATCAAGATTTATGCACAATTTCTATTTATTCAGTGGTATGATTATGGGTATGACGATGTACAATTTGCTATTTTTCATTTTTAGATATCTCAGAATTAATATTTTATCTTAATAGCATGCATACATTTGTGGCAGAGTAGAAAATATTATGACAATTTAAATGTATACTTAGGATAGGTTGTAATTAGATGGGGAATATATTGTTTCTCTTAAAATACAGTGGACTGTTCATATTTAACAATTTTTGAATTTCAGTATTTAAGCAAATTTCATGATGAAGATTGATTATGCTCATGATAGAAGAACTCCGGGGGTGTATAATCGTAGTTTGTGAAAATTACCAAATTTAGCTATAACTATACTTTCAGAATGGAATCTGTCAGTCGTGAAAATTATGATGATTAATGATCTTTAAACAAGTATGTAAAACAAAACTTTCATCCATCAGGCATCAAAAGAAGCCTACAGTCTGTGTGCAGAGGGAGAGAGCCCAGGGATGGGTCTGAGGCATTAGAATACACAGACGTAGGCAAAATATACTCTGTTAACTCTAAAACTAGGACACACAAATGGCTAAAATAATTGTATTGTTTGCTGTTAGTAGCTAATTGTGCCTGTAGATAGCTGAACAACCATGCCAAAGGAATGTGGATGTGTGAATTGGTGGATTTCAAGCTGGAAGGAAGTTGCTGTGGTGTTAGTATTTGTTTAGCCCCAATCAATATTTCTATCAGTGACTTTAACAAATTCCATTTAAACAAACATTTGTGTCAGTATTAATGTCTGTGTACTAAGATTTTAATCCTCATGA